TTTTCTCTCTCTTTACAAAGAGTGGGAGCTTTCTCATTTTTAGGTCAGATGTTGCCTCTACTGCAGAGATTATCCGATAACAGTCCTGATCCAGCCCGGCACAACACTGGTAATGTCCAGTTTGGAGCTGCTCTGCCTCTCTTCAGAAATGCTGCTCCCAAGAGCTGATGGACATCCCTGGGGTTTTCAGGCACTGATGGTGATGGAGAACCAGGTGCATGGCACCTGCCCCGCTGTGTGGACCCAAAAAGCACCTAGGGATAGCAGGGCTGTGGCAGCAGCTCATTAGACTTGTATGTCACAAACATGCTTGTGCCTAGAACAAAGTAAGGACATTTCTTCCTAAAGTGGGTTGAAAGTTGCCACCCCATAGCCTGATAGCTGTGACTGACACCAGCCACCATGAGCTTATGGCCTTGGGTCTCTGTGCTGCTATTGGCCTCATACCCAAAAGTCAGCTGAAAAGTCTTTCTCTGGTTGCAGCAGGAGCCACAGCAAGGCATTGAGATCCTCATTCAGATCATGGCCACAGTGTTTGTATTCACACCTACCCTGAGAACCTGGAATATCCATGTGCAGATATTATTAGTTGTCCCACAGAGATCTGCCTCTCCTCACCAAGCTGCTAGTCTCATCCCTTGTCCCAGGGATGAGACATTACTGCTGAACTCTCCTGCTTTCACACCTAGACTAGATCTACTTCTAACCCCAAAGATAGAGCTCAACCTATGTTTCTTTAGGTTCACATTGTCCTTTTCTTCACTGATCACATTTCACTGTTAACTGTGTTCTGCTAGTAACAGCATTTCTGTAGCAGCCAGGCAAATCAGGTTGGGAAACTGGTTTGCTGGGAGAGAACATGATGTTTTCCTGATTATTTTTTAGCAGAATCAGTCTCCTAAGTTGATTCCCTGGAAGGCCCTAAGAAATATCTCTGCTAGAATGAGAGAGGGGCTATTTCATGACTAGGAACAAGCAGCTTAAAGCCAAACATTGTTCATCCTGAGGTAGATCAGCACCTGAACCCTTGGTCATCTAGGTGACCATTTATACACTAGAGACAGCACAGCAGAGGGAGTGGGAATATAAAAGTGGGGGAAGAGGGTTTGGCCAGCAGTCTTGACTTGAAGTTACTTAGTAAAACCAACTTCAATTACAGAAAGAAAAGAAGAAAAGAGAGAACTACCCATTGTTTTCATTACTACTTTCCAGAAAAATCAGTGAAAAGAAGATTGGGTAGAGGGAAGCCCTTCAAAAAACACATGAGCTTATAAACTGTATGGTTTTGCTTTTGCTTGTCAGACCTGACAAAGATCCTCAGGCTTTGCCTGCTTTTTCCATTTATGCCACCTGTTGTTATAGAAAATGCTGTATCTTCATGCAACGATGGCCCCTGTCCAAATGAGTATCTGTTCATCTTTGGACTAGTTTAATGATAACAGTTTGACAGATAGATCATGGACAAAGGGACAAAGCACAATGCATCTTTAGCTAAATGGTGATGCTTCAGTGCTGTTGATGGCCTGGAAATAAGAGCCAGAGCATGGAAAGGCTAGGGAACAAACACAGCAGTTTTTGAAGTGCAGACCACTAGTATGTATCAAGCATGGAGCAATGCACTCAGAAATGACATACACCTAGAGCAGTCTAGCTGGAGCTTTCTTAGAGCACCGAAGAAAACTGTTCCTTATTTGTAGCAGTCTAAATTGGTTCTTAAAATAACTAAAATACATACAGTTTACCAAATATCTTTGTTAATATAGCACTGCACGCTCTCCCAATTTGTGCAGCCTTTTCCAAACAAACACAATCCAGCAATTGTCTCCGATAAAAATAGACAGTGATGATTCTACATCTGCAGTGCAAGCTGACTTGCCCTTAAAATAAAGCAACATCTCAGGTTAAAGCAACCTATCTCTTAAATATAATAATAAATCTTTGCTTGCTTGATATCAGTGGGTAGAGAGTATGAGATCTAAACCAAAGGAGACTGAAGATGATTTTTAATAGTTTGTGCCCATTGTGCTATATGTTGGTATGCACATGTGGAGAAGATATCAGATGCATAAAAAACTATGCCAAACTATGCCAAAAACTATCCCCCTATGGCCAAGAAGGCCAATGGGATTGAGGACTGCATTAGAGTGACAAAGAGGATTAAGGGACTCAAGCATTTATCTTAGGAATACTCTTCTTGGTGGTGGCCAGTGCCAGAACAAGGGCTAATGGGCACAGACTGAAACACAGGAAGTTACATCTCCATACGAGGAAGAACTTCTCTACTGTGAGGGTGAGAGAGCCCTGGAACAGAGAGGTTGTGGATTCTCCTTCTTTGGAGATGCTCAAAACCTGCCTGGATGCAACCATGTGCCACGTGCTCTAGGTGTCCCTGCAGCAGCAGGAGGGGTTGGATTAGGTGATCTCTAGAGGTCCCTTCCAAACTCAAACTTTCTGTGATTCTGTGAGGTTTCACAGATGAAAAAACATGCAACAACCAGACAGATTTTAAATAAGTACAGTTATTATCAGGCTCAGACAGCTGCTGAAGACTGCACAAAGATGAGTTAACATGCCATTTTCCATTGGCTGTCAAAGCATTTTTTTCAATAATAGTCCATTTCCTCTTTTTGCTAGTATCTCCATCAAGGGAGGGAAGTGTCAGAATTGAAAGTGTCACTGTCTGTTATAGCCTGGTTCTGGGGAGACTTGCAGTATGATGAGTTTTGATTAGCTGCATGTTTCTCTAAAATTTAAATTATTTTTCCAATGAGCTCTCAACTGATGAAAGCAGAAGGAATGGCAGTGACAAAAGAGGTGGCTAACTGTATGGTCATTTGGGACCTGACACTCAGCTGCTGTTCATGTCTCCTCCTGCTGCCTTGCAAGTGTACTGTATTCTATCTAGAAGAATCTGTTCTTGTCCTTACAAGTGATTTCCAAATCCTACTCAGCTGTGCTGAGAAGAAACCATCGATAAATGTAAAGTGTGTCCTGAGCTATGTGCCAGGCATTTTGGAGCAAAATCCATCAGCCTTAAGTTTTTACAAGATTTTAGAAACATGGCAAGCAAGTTTATTATGTGTATCCACTGTCACTCCCACCGAGCACAATCCGTCCAGCACAGAGGTGAGTACACACTGACTTTCTGGTCCTGTTCTGCAAATTTCACTGGTAATCCAACGTCTTATGAAGGTAAAAGGTTGGACTAGATGATCTCTAGAAGTCCCTTCCAACCTTAATCATTCTGTGATTCTGTGAGCACAATGCCCCACAAGTGGTGGACTTCTGCTCTGTCTCTTCTGCCATTAAAGGCAGCAAAAGCTTTGCTCCTAGCAGGGTAAGAGCCTTTGATTTCCTGTAGGTCATGATTTCCTCAAGATATGCAGTGTAAACAAAAGAAGGTCATGTTACTTTGCCTTCCACTGATCTCAATAACTGAATGGGGCAAAACTAACCAATTTAGGCAAATCAGGGAACACTATTTCCTAGTGCAGCTCTCCTCTCTGGAAAAGGGGGCACAGGACTCTAATCACAAACAAATGCAGGACTCTAATCACAAGATAGCCTCAATATCCTAATGGAGAGAATATTGTTGTCTTGCACTGTGATCCTTGCTATAGTTCTGCCAGGTGGAAACAATATCACAACTGTGATATTTTCATTCTGGTTTAACACTAATGTAAATAGCACAGCACACAAAGTAGCTGCGACTGGGGACCTGAGATTCTGCTCATTCTGTTTCTTGCTTAACTAGAGCTACAGAAGCCTTGTGCATTACAAAACAACATATTTTCTGCTCAAAATTTATTAGTGAAACAGTAAGCACAATGACTGTATCATTCCTATAAGTATGCATTTACAGACTACGTAACCCTACTACAAAATCAATTGCAACCTGATATGGGATTTTTTAACTTCCCCAGCACTTTCAAGCTCAAGCTCATAAATGATTTTCAAAATATTACAAAGCTTTTCTAATGATTAAGTTTGACATTTCAGCCTGCATGCTTACTGCAAACCTTTCAAAATATTTTGCTTCCTAAAGGACAAATTTGAATGTATTTGTGATGACTACTTCCTTCCCTTCTTTTCTTTCTCCCAGTCTTACATATTAAATGTAGACCATGAACTTTGTTTTGGTAGCTCAAAGAATTTTATCAATAAATTTAATGAAATGGAAAAGACTGGGAAAACATCAAAGGAAACTCATTAAGGAATACCCCAAGAAAGCATACCACTTCATGAACAAATCTCTGACCAATAAGGACACTCCTTTAACTTCCTTTCCTGTGCATACAACTCTCAACACTGAACATGATAGACTTCTACTGCTCACACTAAAAGGGCAAATTATTTTATCTACCAGCTTTCTTTTTTTTTGTCTAACTCAATACAAAACGAAAGCACTCCTGCAAAAACTTCGTATCTTAAACTCAGATATCACAGGTTATTGCTCTGAATAAAGTTTGACTGTTGTTAATTTGCATATAATGTACTGAGAGCTGGCTGTGATTTCCTTTTTGTGTGCATTTC